CCTGCACAATATTTCTTGGATACACATCGAATCTAGTCACTAGCGGTATCAGAGAGGTGAATTTCGTATATGACGCAGGCACTGCATCAACTGCGTCTGTTGGTGCGGCGCGGTCTGTGTCTGTGTCGTTGTCAAGTGCTAACATACAATCTATCTTAGCTGCAGTGTCCTTGTTGTGCGGCTAGGCGACCGCAGCGCGAGGGTCGCGCATGTCAACCTTTGATGACAAGGCAGATCTGATTGCGCCAGTCAGACGCTCGCAAACGCCGCACGACGCATGAAAGGGGACACTGCAGCTGAAACAGACTGTGGCTCGTCATCAAGTGCTTTATTTAGATAATACGATTTATTGTGCAACATAATCTTGTCGACTGTCTTGTGACTAGTGCTGGTGGAGTGGAAGAAGATCTCATCAAATGCTTGGCTCCATCTTACCTCGGTGATTTTCGCATGGATGGGAAAGACTTGCGGTCAGTCACTGATGTCAAAAACGGCTCGAGTAAATTCAGCTAAATTTTAGGTCTAAAGGTCTCAACCGAGCTGGCAACATCCTGATACCCAATGACAACTATTGCAAGTTCGAAGATTGGTTGACACCAATTTTGGACGAATGCCTGAAGGAGCAGAATGATAACGGTGTCAGCTGGACTCCGTCGAAACTTTGTCGAAGGTCCCTCCAAGTTAGGTCTCCATCCATTTTTTTAACAGAAATCTTTTTAGGATGGGTGAAAGGATCAATAACGAAGAGTCGATCCTTTATTGGGCTGCTCGAAATCATATTCCAGTCTTCTGCCCAGCTTTGACAGATGGCAGTCTTGGTGATATGTTATATTTTCATTCTGTCAAGCACTCGCAAGGAGTCCGCCTCGATATCGTTGAGGTAATTTTTTCTCTTAGATAACCTACAAAGTATACTCAAATCAAGTCCTGAGATAGCTTTTGTAGTCGATTTGTGCGCATCAGTAGCGGTTCCTAAAAATTTTTCAGGAGGAGGGCAAATTTTTTCTAAA